ATGGTTGCTGTAGTGGTTATCAGCGATGACACCCGGGAGCGAGGGTGGGCTCATTCCTCCCCAGACTGTATACCTCGACCGCGGCACAGCATCATCTCGGAACGTCCTGATCTCGCAAAACAGCTGTTCCTGCCAGGGCTCGAACCTGGGACCTTCCGCGTGTTAGGCGGATGTGATAACCACTACACCACAGGAACGTTTCATGCAGACGGCCTCGCGTCAGTGGCTCATCAAGTCGACGATGTACCTATATTAGGTCCGATGAGATTTCTGCTCCCGGATCACCGCTTTCTGGTTACTTCCGCTCGAGACCAAGTTCACGTGGGCGAATTTCCGCGAACGCGGGATCGGAGCGAAGGCTGGGAGCGTGAGCAATGCCCGTATCGCTCACCGTAGTTTCTTGGGTTAGACGGATGCGATTGTCGACCCCGAGCTCGAAACAAGCAGTCGTGGCCGAGCGGTTAAGGCGACAGACTAGAAATCTGTTGGGGTCTCCCCGCACAGGTTCGAATCCTGTCGACTGCGATATAGTTTTAGATGAGTCCAGCGCTGCAATCAGGTCGCATAGGCGGCGAATCGATTGTTTTACAGAACGCTGGTTCGCCAGCAGAATCCCGCAGAATTTTCGCCGGCGGACCCTGTAGATCATGAGATCCCCGACTTAACTATTCAAGTTCATCATTTCACATCCTCCGTTGGATGTATGATCGCTGATCTCGGCTCAAAAATCAATCGTCGAGGCCAGATGTAATGAGAAACCAAGTCGGATGGCGGATCGAGGTTGCGATGTTTTTCGTTCCCCAACCCCGGTACCCCGATTCGATCGTTCAGCTCAGTGATCCATTTGGGAAATGGGACTTCATGATGCTGATTGGTTTGTGCTAGTGAAGAGTGTCTGACGAGGAATGTACGATGTCGCTGCGATGTCACAGACCATTGAGCACTGTCTCCCGAGATGAAACCGAGTATTATCAATATTATAACGAGAACGACCACAACTCCCCTCATGATCGTGGTCGCACGGGTCCAGAGTCCGGAGTTTGAGCCGGCGAGGTGTTCCTCTTCCTCGGAGCACGCAGTAAAACGTGGTTTCCTGTCGCGTCAGCCAGGAGGAGGAGTTTCTCACATTCGACCGCAGTCTGACGACAAGCTACCCAGCAGTCTCTTTTGGATTTACCTATATCTTCCAAAAACCGTCTTGATTTATCGCGATAGTCGATCGGTTCCGCCCAAGAAGTGTGGAGTCTAAGTTGAGGAGGAAAGCTCGGGGCTTTCGTCCATGACAATTGAGAGTAAGGACGTAGAAAGTCGATGAGCGAATAAGGGAAGTATTTACCCACCAGACATCTATTCGTTATCTCTTTCCTCTGACGAAACCTTCCCAAATTCATTTTCGGGAGCTCAGGCCTCAGGGCTCTATATGATAGAGTATTGTACCCGACCTTATTGTGACCGTTACCTCAAGTCTTCTCCAACTACTGGTATTCAACCTCATCGATCCTCTCAAACTGACTCCGTTCGCTTCAAAGTGACTACTGAACTACTGACTACCAAAGGCTCGGGTTCAGGCCTCGGCGCGTTTCCCCATCCAGAAGCGGGCTAACCCGAACGAGGTTCTCGGGAAACATCATCGGACGATCGGATACACTCCCGGAATTTCTCAAGGCTTAGCCAACGAAAATGGAAGCATTCTTTGAGGTGATCAGGTGATCGTGTGTATATCTGGAACGTGTATCCACACCAAAAAAAAACAGAATCTGACTCCCTGGAGCGCCATCAGATAACGCTCGTCATCGTTACACGAGGGATTCCATCATTTATTTTTGAGAGAATCCCCCTCGACAGATCCTTTACCCTCATTGAACAAAGTTTTGTTGCAACCCGAAACTCGAGCAGTGACTTTGGGCCTCGGAGATTGTCTGGGAGAAAGCATCGTCTTCTTATCGTTCAATGACGTAGAGTCATCCTTCCCCAAGAAACACAACACCAATTAAAGCGAAACACAACCACAATCAAGCGCAAATCGTGTTGCACGATCACGTGCTTGCTCAAGCGCGTGCCTCCCTTCTGACTGTATCGGCGCGTCTCGCGAAGATCTTCAACAATGCCTCTCTAAAGCTCCCCAGCGCTCTGGCTCAATTTATCGGGCTCCTAGAAACATGGCTCCTTGGGATTTCAGCCCAAACGGGATGTCACAAGTCCCGCGTACATGACGGGGGAGAGCTGGTCGCAGCCCGTTTGCAGAGGTGCGCGAGCCTGTCGATTGTGGCAAGGCTTGGTTCAAGATGCGGCGATTCCGAAGCTCCTCCCGCTTCCGGACATCAGGCACGTTCAGCTATTCAATCCGGAATGGTCGAATCCCGAGAGCTTCCTTGTACATAGATGCCTTTCCGCAGACCATAACATTCGATCGACCCGTAAGCACGAGCTGCTCTCGCCCGCCGCGGACAGAAGCGCCCCGAGCGCTTGACAGAAAGTCTGTCAATTTTTCCCGTACAGAGCAGCGCTCTCATCATTCGGATCGAGTCTACTTATAGAATCTCTCGTGCGACAGACAGGAAGCTCTATGAATTCGGGAGGAGCTTCTCAATAGCCCCCAGACGCAGGTAGTTAGCGTTATGCGAGGCAACTCGACCGAAGCGGATCTCTCGTCCCCTCAGCATTAGGCTCATTGCCTGCCTGCCCATGGTATCGCTTCTCGGCCTTTTGGCTAAGATCAAAGTGTAGTATCTGTTCTTATCAGCTTAATATCTGATACGGGGGACATCGTCCCCCAAGATATTAAACTATTTTTTGGAACATGGCTGAGTGCTCGGGGCTTGCTCCACCTCGGCCGCGGGTTGGCCTGGTATTGCACTACTTCCAGGATCGGCCCATCCTTTAATCTTGCAAAGTTATAACATTGTACCCGCCACGCTAGACGAATCCATCGATGCTTACGATTCTTTTTCGCAAATCATCGACTGGTCGAGTGAAAGTATCAGTGTGCCGAGCTGATGGGCGTCGACTGTCTCTCTCGTCCCGCTACGCGAGAACAAGCGCCTCATCGGACCAGACTGACCTGATGTCTCGCACATTCCGATCGCTCTGTCCCCTTCTATTATTTCGCAGCGCTCATCCTTCAAATGAGAGCTGCGAAAATGATTCGCTTGCGTCGAGCTCACTAGTAGCTGGATGGTCAACTGGTCGAGCTGGCGGGGAATTGTCCGGATCGTCAGCTGATCGAGACGCGAGAGAGCGGCTGGAGACCGTCGTAAATAGTGAACATCACGGGATGTTCAGAGAAAGATTGAGATCCGACGGAAGGTTATGATAATTTTAAGCATGCTATGAGCTCGAACTTCGCGGGACGCTCGGAATAGCGCAGGGACTCGCGGCTTCTGTTCCGGACTTCGCGGCCGAGATTAAAACCAATCCCTTGTCGAGCGGGGAAATGAGGGAGTCGGACGGAGAAGAACACGGTAGATGTGGGCGATGATGTACGATGTTATTTATTAAACTTCACGCATAAAATTCCTGTACAAGCTCGTCCACGCGTCCAACCTACGCCGCGTGCATGTTTCGAGCCTACGTGGGCTGGGGCCTCACCACTTCGAGAAATCGAAACTCGGTTTGGGTTTCTTCTGTGATATGACCTGGCTGGAGGACGGAACCGCTTTCTCGGCTATTTTCCTCCTGTAGATTTCATGAAATCGTCAGAACCGGATCTTTTCCATGACAAATTCCAACCTCAAAATCCGTGATCCGGAGAAAATCTCGTAGTAGCTATATGCCAGTACTGTAAACTTGATTGTCAGCTTACTTCAATTCGGGATTGATGTATTTTCCAACGCCCGCGGTGAAAACTTTCTTGTCTCTCTTCCGTTCCTCCAAGATTTTCTCTCGCTTTGCGGCCTGTTGCTCAGCTTGCTGATTCGTCTCGCGTAATTTGGCTAACTGTAATTGGAACACGAAAACTCTGTGAAACCAAAACTTTGCCCAGCTCACTCGGGTCGAGACGGGTAAGGGCAGCGTTCCAGAATGTCAGGCAAAGTCGAGATATCCCGGCTGAGCTCACCTCTTCATCGGCCTCTTCGAATGGGTTCACGAAAACTGTCGCCTTGATCAGACGGACGTCTTCAATCGGTCGGTCCTTGTTATCGGTTTCGATGTCCTCTATCGCTTGCAGTGTGGGGAGCCCTCCGACTACCTAAAAAAAGAGGGAACCCTTCAGCCAACATTCAACGTCAGAATGAATCATAAATCGATACGGGAGTAGCTTAAGCGCCGGAACTTTGAGCAGGTCGATGATGTGGAGCCCACCTTGCCGAACACTGTGTGCTTCTTGTCCAAGTGACGACAGGATCGATACGTGATGAAGCTGCAATACCACGACATATGGGAAATTCAAGACTCCATCGTCACAAAGACCTTACCATCTCAAGCAGCTTGCGAGGCGATTCTCGATTTACCTACTCCATCATGAGACGAGACGGACGAATCAAGAAAAGGAACCTACAATTGACATTTGTTCGTATCGGCTCCGGAATTCGCCATGCTGAGCACGCCGCGACCTTGGTGTACGAGATGGGCATGAAATTCGTCCTTGAAGGTCCCGCCCACAACGAGTCGCCCCCAGTACCGGTACCGGTTGGATCTCCACCTTGGAGCTGGGAAGAATAAGGGACGTTGGGGGTAGGCTCCCGACGGGATGGAATGAGCCGCGCGAGGGATGCCGAGAGAAATCAGAAGGCAGGTTTGGTCAGCTCGTATCTGCGACCGGAGCGACAACTTACAATGAAATTCCGTATCGATCTATGGAATATCGTTCCGTCATAGTAGCCCTTCGCGGATAGTCCTATGAAATTCTCGCAGGTCTTCGGTACGACGTCGCAGAAGAGCTCCAAATTTATGTTTCCATGGGATGTTGCAAGCTGCACGTAACCCTTCTTTTTCACCATCGAATACCGAACAACATCATCCGCGAGTACCGCTGCAAACGAGTCATAATGCAGAACCTGTTTGGGGAGATATCGAATGTTCTCCTCATATTTCTGAATCAGACTCGCTGGACCTACCGGCTTCTACTTTCGTAGACGGAGTCATGGCCGTGGACGTGAAACTAGCAGCTGCCGTACCAGTTGAGAAATGCGCAGCATTGAATTTATCCCTCGACGGACCAGCTTGGCTGGTAGAATCCGAGCTCACGGGAGCCTGGAATTGGAAGATCCCGATCGGGATTGAATGAGCACCTGGGCTCGGGGGCATTAATAATTTTTTCCAAGTACAATATATTCATCTCCAGACACTGCTCGTTCGATGGACTGACCTTGTATTCCTTGTCGAGTTTGTCGAGCACGGATCTCGTGACATTATTAACATGTTTCAAGTTGCGTCTCGAATCGTTCTTATCAGCGTTGCCCTGGTCCGCTTTCAGATTATTTTTGACGTGAAAATAGGTGTTCAAATTGAACTTTTGTAAATTCTGAGGATCTTGGAGCTGGATGATGTCTGCACGAGTGAACGGGGTGTCATCTAAGAGATCCTGCGAATCACGAGAATATTTAAGACACCGATAAGCAGGAGCCACGACTCATCAACGAATGACTTCGCGGGGGGAATAAAAAATATCGAAGGGTTCAAACCCACTTTGAAATTTTTAGTTTTCAGGTTGAGCTGCTCGACTGCCTCGTACGAAAACACGTTCCCCGTAGTCCTTATCGCGACGATGTGAGAGTTCTCATTGAAGACTTTGAAAAGCACTGGACAATGATATTTCCCATCATTGTTCTTGGCGAAGTTAAGCTTGATTAAAGCTGAGCGATCCATTTTCTGCAATCGAAACACATGAGAGAGCTGCGCCGGGAAGCTTTACTGGAGGAGTTTCCGATCGTCGGCGCTCCGAAAGTTACCTTTCCGGATGCTGGATCGATCCCATGCTGCTTGATGAATCGGTAAATGCTAGCTTGATCGTAGATGACTCCGTCCTGGTTGCACAGGGGGAATTCGAAGGGCTGGAAGGACAGCGCGCAGTGGTCGAATGGCAGTCGACGGAATTCGGCCGCGTCCCCGGAAGCTGAAAGCGATGGACTCAAATGTAGGGGGATCTCTTGTTTCCCTGCCAGTTGCTCGCTGTGCCTCAACTATCCTTCCGGCGAGTACCCCGATTCCCTGGCCGAAATCCAGTTCTCATGCCCCCCGTTTCCCTCTATCCGAGCTCGCCGAAATCGCCCGTCATGGGTTCCGCATACCGAGCTCCGTCGACAGATTCATTACCCCGTGAAGCTGCGGAGTCTGGAGAGGACCGGGATCTTCGATCGGTCTAGAAGTTGGGAGGGTAGTATGATAGAAGAGTCTCCCTCTTCTGATTGTTAGCGGTGAACTCTTACGGCTTCGAGCATTAGGATTCCGTGAGAACCTAGACGCTCGGGGCGAGCCGAACCCCCGCCCCGGAACGCTCCTGAGCCCGCTCTTTCCCGCTACGAGATCCGCAGGGAAACTTCTCGAGGGGAAATCTCGCAATCGATTGATGAGAGAATCCTATCAGAATACTCGACGAGTGAAAGGCCGGTGATCCGGCGAAAAGTCATCCGGGGTCGGACCGGATCGGTACACTCTACAAATTTCGAAATAGTCGCTCTGCTTCGTGCAGGACAGGGGTGTCAAAGAGGTGGCCCGCGGGCCACTAGTGGCCCACGAAGAGTTTTCTCGTGGCCCGCGGCCGGGAATTCCATAGGCATAGGATAACATCCTTGTAATTTTCGAATCGCGAATAGAACGAGTCGACTTTGAAAAATCGAGAATGGATTGTGAGCCATCATGCACATACATATGTGTTTCCCTCCAGCTTTCCGCTCTTCGCTCGAACAACGTGAATTGAGAATAATGACGAAAAAATCTTTTGATGTGGCCCGCCGGCTTCTCCCAATGCTCCTTCGTGGCCCGCCGAAGATTTGACTTTGACACCCCTGGTGTAGGAGACAGCCTCTCGATCTTTCGCAGTGAGAATTCTCCATACGACGCTCTACTCTCCGAATACTCTTTTCCTCGATATCTCGGTTCCCCAAGAGCCGTCAGAAGTTTTGATGCCGTATTCCTCCTCAGATGGGTGTACTATGCAAGCTAAAAACTCGATTGAATAGGTCGCTGAGTAACTCCCAAACTATAATTTTCTGTATTTATCTTTATGCTTCGTGGGAAATTTCGAGCTCCTCAGAATTTACACTCGAATCGTCCAGTTTCCTCCTCTTTTCCGCGAATCCATTTTCTTCAACTTCCATTTCTTCATCGGACTGCTCCTGTCCATTCTCTTTCTTCTTACGGTTTCCTTTCTGCAAGGAGAACTGCTCTCCCGGGAAAAAGTGTCGATAAACACCGTTCAGACGACGCTTGATTTGTGCAGGCATGTTTTTACGCGACAGATCGTCGAAAATTGCTTTAACAGCTCCGAGGTGTTCGGCCATGGGATCTTCGAGATCCGCATCTTTGCATTTCTGTGAGATAAGTCGCATGACGTCGAGGAGCTCCACGTAAAGATTCATCGTGAACGCAAGCTCCTCTCCGTCTTTGAGTACATCGCTGACGGAGGCGGCCAGCTTCTTCAGGGATTTCTTCAGTTTCTTCTTCTCTACATTCGCTGAATTGCAGAGTTTCAGAGCCGCGACCAGCAACCCCATTAATTGAACACGTTTCTCCCGTTTTTCCATACAGCCACGAAGCTCTGACTGGAGAGCATCCACAATCAAGAGACTGTGTTCGTTGAAGACTTCGATGAACCTCACGAAGAGAGGCGGAGCGACGGGAGTCGACGGTTGTACCAAATAGATTCCTATGAGTTCTTTGTAGAGACCAAAATACCAATCCTGGTCATCGCCGAGAGCTTTTACGCATTTGATTGTGAACGGTAGTAGGCTGTTCAGCGAAACCCGCAGTTCCGCGTCGAATACCGTCTGGATTTTCTCGACGATCATCTGACCCATGGCCTTGACGTCATCGAGACTCGAATCCATCTTGATCGAAGAAAGCTTCAGGCTCGTCAGGTCTCTCAGGGTTTCCGCGATATGACTCACAATGGGTCGGTGTATGTTTTTCGCGCGTTTAGACGTCGCGAAGGTCAGCAAAGCTCTACAGATGGAAATAACGTGCGACATCGGTATATCGGGACTCTTAACGTAGTCTTCGAGAATGTGGAGGCATTTCATTTCGAAATGGAGGGCCTGTAGCTCTTTCTTGCGGTTCGCCTTGTTGGTGCTCGACGACAGCGCCTTGAAGCGGGCTCCGAAAGCGGCGGCTATCGCTTTGTCTAACTTCATCATGTCTTCGTCGGTCGCTTCGACCTCGTTCTCGTCGTCGCTACCGTCGACTCCGAGCACTGTCGACAGTTGATTCCTAAACGACTCGTCTCCGAAGTCCACCTCTGAGCTACTCTCGTCCGGACCGGCCGTCCCGTTCCGGGCGTCAGATGATTTACCAACATCATCCTGTAGGTCGCCATCGTCGTCGTCCGAATCAGAGTCTTCACCCTCTTCTTCGTCGCTCGGATCCTCTTCCAGCTGCGTCAGATCTTCGGCTTGTTCCTCACCGTGGAAGACACCGAGTAGGATCCCGAGAGCTTCGCTTGTGATCTCTTTATGGATCAACGCCAACGTCATGAGGATGATCGAACGGAAATGACCGTTCTCGACCGACAGAGCAGATATGATGGCCTCCATAATGAGGTCAATCCATTCCACCTCGTCCTCTTCATGTCGACCGGCCATGAACGCCTTCGCCGCGGAAATCACATCTTCCAACACGGTGACGTCTTGCTGGATGCCCAGGGCGTAGCACAACGCGAGATAACCCACGAAAATTCGCAAGGCGAGCTTGCAGTCCGGATTCTTGTCGCTCTTGTTCAGCTTCTCCATCAGCTTTGCTGCCGACCGGAGTTTCTTCTCGTGCTTGAAGGACGCGTGCCGGTTCTCCATCTGCGTGTAGATTTGGAGTACCGCGAAAATGTTCTCGGCAGCCTCTGCGAGCGCCTTCGGATTGTTGGCGGGAGCCAGAGCCTTAAGGAAGGCCTGGGTGTTGGGTTTCTTGCTGATGCGAGCCTCTCCCGAAAAGTAGTTATGGGACAGGAACTCACAGATTGAACGCTTGAACTCAGGCTGGTTGTGCATGTGCGACAAATGCGTTAGATTGGCTAGTTGTTCGATAATGATTGTGTCGAACTTGATGTGGCTCTCGTCGTTCTCCTTATTGCTCTGAAGCTCGTGTAACTTCTTCTGGAGTCGTTTCGCGAACCAACGCACTACCTCCGGCCCGGCTTTTAGGAGTGTTTTGTGGACCAGAGACGACTTGGTCATGTGATCGAATCGGTAGCCTTTATTGTGGCTAAGGACGAATTTGAGGATCGACTTCGCCTTCGATTTGTCGAGCTTCTCGAGCACAGCGATCAACGACTTGACCTGCGCGTTCAAAGGACTGTTGGTTTTCACGAGCGGATACACGAGCTGTTCGACGTAAATTTCCTTCATGAGCACGTCCCAGCAATCGAAAGTCTCGAACGCCAGCTGTAAGATGTGCAGAAGCAGAAAATGCTTCTCCGCTGATGGACTTGAGGCTAGTTTCTCAACAACTTCATTCCAGAACGTTTCTCGTTCTGGTTCTTCGCGATGATCGTGGATCAATGTGGCGACCACCGGATGGATCTGCGGCAGCTGCGATGTGCTCATCTGAAGGGTTGCGACGAGCGTTTCCGTCGACAGAGCGTACGACTCAACCAATTTCGGGTACTTTCTTCGTACGGTCAGTATAACGTAAACAGAGAAGGGCACCGGAGTTCTTGTCTGAGCTTGAAGGTAGCGCTCCAGCAGCGGCCATACGGTCGATTCGAACGCTTTCGCCGATACGGTATCGGTTATTTCGCTGACCAAATTGCACACTGCGGACTCCACGAAGGATTTTCCGGACAGGGTGATCAATTCAGAAACGCATTTCTCGAGTAAGCCGTGCAGCTTCGAGGACCGGATCATCGCAGCCCAAGCCAACAACCGCCCGATCAGCATCTGAACTCGGTCTTCCTTCGGTTTCAAAGGGAGCCATTCATCCATCAGCTGCAATATCTCCTCGTCTGAGTAATCCACCCTCCTCAGGACTTCGGCGAGCGCGTCCGAAAAACCGATTCTTGAGCATCGGTTCGACGACGACAGACCGCGTATCAGTCTCTTCAGTGTGTAACCTCTGCGATCGGCCTTCGTCGTCTCTTCCGCGGGTTCTTCGTCGATTTCCAAAGCCTCGTCGGCACAGAGGTATCCCATGAGGTTGGCAATCGCCGCAATCCGGAGCTGCGCGTCAAAGGCTCCCAGCTGCGTGAATTGGTCCAGGAACTTGCCTGAGGAGGGCGGAGAGCACTTAGTTTCCCGTTGATGCCTTATCATTGTCACTTCTGGCTCTTCGGCGGTTAGTTGACAGTCGGACGGATTGATTGACTCATCATTCACACCTGGGTTGTCCTAACAGAAAAAGGCCCGGGGATGCCTCCGGAACGCAGGAATCGTTGAGAAGGCATTATCATAGTCTATCAAGGGTCCAAGATGATTTCGGAAGATATCTTGAGCTTGACAGAAATCGAGACCCTTCAGAAATTCATCAGGAGAGTCTGCGTAGAGAAGCTCTCGAATGAGCATTCCTGGCGCGAGCTTCTGACCAGAATTACCAGTTACTCCATAAAACCGTATTTCGGACAGCACACACAGAATTCACGAGAGAGAATCGAGCAGCTCGTACTTACCCGCTTTTTTGCCTCCGTATAATGTGGTCCATTCTGTCGTCGTAAGATACCTGTGAGCAACGAAAAACCATAAATTCAGATGCTACGACTCGCGAATCAATGACGTCAATAATGGATTCCCTCGCATGTCGCAGGATTTTCGAGTCGACTGTCCCAAGGATGGTCATCTGCGATTCTTGAGAGATGGAGAGCCCTCCCAAGAACGGGAAGAGCTCAGTAAGTCATACTCTCGGCTCACATTTTATCTTTCTGGTGCTGTTTCTTCCCCATGGTGAAGGATTTGGAGTTCCACTCGAGGCGAATATCTATGGGGTGATAACAAATCTTCGATACAGAACAAATGTCTTTCGTTCTGTGGCGAGCCGAACGCACTCCAAAGCGATTCACACGTGCGGTTGGCGGCGCACAACAAAAACACGGTGGGAATCGATGTTATTGTGCGGCCGCGCAGGAGGGGGCTCGACGGGGTAGAACCCAACGCACGGGGCGGTATATCTCAGCCCTGCATTGTGTTCGAAAAGTACCCGCGTTCTCGTGACACGTCAGTCGACCGAACGCGACCAATGAGGAGGCGATCGTCTGTGCTCATGACGTGAAGATTCACCGCCTCCCGAGGGCGTGAGCCGGGATTCTTATTCGGAATCACCACCGGACACTCGAAATGGAGATGCGTTCATTCGCTTCGCATCCTTCATCCGCGTCTTCGTCTTCGTTTCCTCCTCTTTGTGAGTGAGAGAGTTGACGAGAGAGTGTTTGGTGTTGAAGAGCTTTCCGTTGCCACCCTTGTTGCGACGGCTCCTCCCCTCTCTCCACGGTCGAGCTGACAGTTTCGCGAGAATTACATCTCATTGGTGGTGGCTTCAACAAGACGTCTGGCGTTGACACCCCACGTTTCTCAGAAAATCTCATCCTGTGAGGTCCCGATTTTCTGACTTTGGTCACGCTCCTGAGTCTAGACGACTGTCCTACATTTCAATCAATTCCACCGCTCTTGGACCAGCGACAAAAATGCGTACGCTGCTTCTTTTATGCATCTCCTGTGTAGCTGGAGTCTTCGGCTCGGGCTCGGGCGCCACCGTAAGTTCAATACTATGCTCTCTATACCCTTGCTATAAGGGTCCCAGGCCTCAATCCAGGGCACCGGCAGCGGTAAGTTGACGCGCACGACTGAAGTACGCCGACGACTCCTAACAAACGGTCTCTGACGGGAGCACTCAAACTCACGGTACCGCCGATATCTCGCATGATCACAACGCAAACGAGAGACCCTCGCGGTCCCCCTGCACCGGGACGTAAACTTTCGTGACTTCCTGTATCTAACCACTTGTATTCCTGGTGTCTGCCTGCGATGGGAGAGGCATTTTTATTCCCTATATATATCAAGTTCCGAGTGATCCCTGTGAACGTAGGACTCTCGTGGAAGTGAGAGAGGATTGCTCTGGAAATCTCAGAGACCTAGTGAAGCCGAGCTCCGCCTGTCAATTGTCTCCCATTTGCCATATCTATCAGCACCGAAAACCGTATTCGACGAATGAGCCCTTCTCGCTCCTCCGACAAAATCCGACCCAACGAGAGTCTTCTCGAAACGTTTTCACGGGAGCATTGTGCTATTCTGTCGGCCGTCTCCCTTCGAATGACGGTCTGAGCATGACTGATTTCGAGCGGAGAAAAAATGGACGATTCTTATAATTTTCCAAGCCGTCGGCTGTCACTTCCGTGCTGTAGTGCCCCGTTTTTGAGGCCTTTACCGAGAACTCGGTTGTCGAATAGACATAGAAGTAGACGAATAGGGTTCCGCTCAGATCTTTGTGGCGGTGGTGTAGCGATGGGAGGCTTCCCAAGTCTGAGCATAACCTGGAATAAAGAAGTCTGACTCGTTGCCCATCGAGCCGACATCGCTCTGGTTTTTTCACCGCACGAATGTCAGACGAGCGGTGGATAGCAGGAGACAATCGAAGTTACGGGCGGACGTTTCTCAACCCAGAAGAGTAATCAGCTTGAACCTTTGCAGCGAATCGACACGACGATCACGCATAGAGTAACTTTCAACATAAACCAGGGCAACAAATTCATGGGCCGTATCGTTCTGGGTCTCTACGGAAGGGTGCGTTGAGATTAGGGTCCGAGTATGATCGAGAGCCATGAAATAAGCATGTCATGGCCGTTATTGGATAACGGAATCTCGATGTCCCATTTCAAGGTCGTGCCAAAAACTGTGAAGAATTTCGTCGAAATCGCCTCCGGTAGACACGCGAAGAAGTATGAGGGAACCGAATTCCACCGAGTCATCCAAAACTTCATGCTCCAAGGTAAATTCTCCGACAGGACATCATGGGAATCACGCCTGGATTCATGCTGCGGAATAAGGACACAGTATGCGGAGGACTGTGATCGGAATATGACCGTGGATGTTTTCGATGGTCATCAGTGGGCGCGCCCCCACTGACGAAGTCATCGACCCCTCGTGACCTGACGGATTCAGTTCAAAAAAAGCGTACACATTTCATCTCGACCCTGCTTATTGGGGATGTTCAACATGATTTTTATTGAAAAAAAATTATTCGTCTAATCAGGTGGAGACGTTGACCATAAGAACGGACTTGGATCTTGGTCCATCTACGGGTCCCGTTTCGAGGATGAGAACTTCTTGCTGAAACACGTCGAACCATTCACGCTGTCGATGGCCAATGCCGGAAAGGACACGAACGGATCTCAATTCTTCATAACGACTGTTGTAACTCCATGGCTCGATGGCAAACACACCGTCTTCGGCAAGGTTAGTTGGCTACGAAGAGCATCCGCATCGAGGTTCAAGTTCTGCAGTTCGTGGTAGTTGATGATTCGATATTCGGGACTATCTAGTGAGAGATACTACGAGACTATACTTTCCAGGTTCTCGACGGCCAGTCGGTCGTGAAAGACATCGAAAGAGTTCCCACGGATCATCACGACAAGCCGGTCACCCCGGTCTACATCGCCAGCGTTCAAGTAGAAGAACTCGAACCGTTGCGCGTGTAGGAGTAGTCTCAGCAGTATTCTAGCGGTTATATTCACGTTGTCCATTCCACTATGCTGCCGGTGCTCGTTCCGTGCGGCGTGCATACTCATTCTTAGCTGCATATATGAAAGTACTCACTGTCCAGGCATAGTTCGTTATCGTGTAAAATCGGACCAAAACTCTAGTTTGAATAGCTGCATCGGTCTTCCGGGAGGTGCAGACGGAATTCTGTGTACAAAAGCGTCTGCCACCTTGGTGCCATTCCAAGAGCCATAGTAGTAAAATTGTGTAGCACAAGCGAGGGACGATCAGTCGAACCGAAGCTTCGGTTCTCCATAAAAGAACTCGAGTCAACTTCCGGCCATGCTTCGATGTCCATACCGGCGTCTTGCCCTGAATCAGCGGGGGACGAGGACTTGCTTCCGCTCAAACATTGCATATAGTCCAAGCTCGATTTGCGTAACTGATACTTGTTGAGATCTAGAGCAAGTCGTGCGGTGAATATCGACGCAAGCCTAACATCCGCGAACGTAGTAAGCTCATCAATTGTTCCGAATCCTGAATGTACCGCGAACCGAGTGTTTCCTCCATTTGAGTGTACTAATTCTCACTTGTTTCCTGACAGAATGACGTGTCCATGTATCTCCTCAAACGAGGCCTAGGCTTCGGGGGCGAAAATTTTTTGAGCCTCGGGCTCGGAATAAATTCATCTCTTGGAAGAGACGTCATCGTTCCCTTTTGGTAGTTTATCTCAGTCAGGAAGGCGATCAGGCAATGAGGCATCACGGAGAGTTCTCCATTCGGCAATCCGAGGAGAAGAAGTACCATGGGCGGGAACAAGCATGTTAAGCATTAGTTGACGGGCGATTGGTCCAATTAATCATCCTTCCGCGGCACTCAAGCGTGAAAAAGCGTGACTCATACGCGTTCAGCGCTACTCCCAGATCCTCTTCACCGTAGTCGATCAGTTTCTGGAAACCATAGTATTTCAGTACTAGAAGAAGAGATTTTCCCTCATTTTTCCCTACCTCCTCATTGGAGCAGTTTTCACGGGAGGAAATTGTAATTCCGTCCTGGAATCTCATCGTCCGTCAATTAGAGAGCTAGAAATGAGCGGTTTCGTCCAGGAGAAATATGCTTTGATGGAGAGTTCTTCGTCCGCGCTTCGAGAAGCTCCGGGGAAAAAATCAGACACTGTAGAGAGCTCTCGCTCGCTCGAAGGAGATATTCGTTCGATTAGGTCGCGGTAATCCTGCGAACTCATTCCGTAAACTCTCCGCCAAAGGGTCTCTGAGCCCTTGAATCGAATCCCGATTCCTGCGATGCCTTCTCTCCTTTCACCTGAGGGGAACATTTGTTTTCAAAAGACGCTATCAGTCCCCACGTGTGTTTTGAGGTATACAGATCTACGCGTACGCATCTCCGTCTTCGAGAAGTTCCGAATCCTCCGATCGCCGGGAATCCGTCGGTGATCGTTTACGAGAGGTGACCGGGTTCCTTCCCGACCCGCTACGTTATTCCTTTGCTGATCCATCGTGGGAAGCTCGTGCAAGCATGTCGGTGTTTTACGAGATCGACGCGGCAAGCTGTTCGCGAGTGAGGAAGTATCCATGGTGGTGCGATCTCAACGGCCCGTTCGAGTTGTCCGACGGGAGCTGCGGTGTTGGTCCATTCACCTTGATCCGCTACACATCGAATGAAACGCCGGGAACCTTCAATTTGCGATGTTTGCACAGTATGAGAAAGAAAGCCTACGATCAACTACCACAAAAATGTGACGTCTTCGCCGTCATCCGCCGAGACGGTACCCTCGTGCGAAGGTAGAGCCTCCGTCTGATTCGTTCATGGTTTATTACTGCCCAATCAAAGCGAAGCTCTCCGGATCGACTCTCTTCGGTGTTACTTATCAGTGAATCCCCATCAGACGATACTTGCACAACCACCCTCCGATGCCGGCGCCGCCGAGTCACCTGCACTTGGAAGCCATCGACTCGCCTATTCAACCGAGTTTCGACGAAGTCGTTGCTCTTCTCTCGAGAGACGGACGCGGAAGGCGGAAAAATCCCGTACTCGAAGTGAAAAAAGTTGAGATCAACTACGTGAATCCAGACTTTGAAGGCACCGAGTTCAGTGCTCAGTTTTGCGCCGACGACCTCGATCGTGATCTAGATTCGTTCGTACTCCATCTCCAGTCAATGTACCTGAATAAGTGGTGCACGAGGCACGCTTGACTCGATCTCACTGTTGGACTCCTTCCAGGAGTACGCCCGAAGCATCCGAAGAGGAGGACTCCCAAATAATATTATCAGAAACTGACCGAGGTTCGCTCCTGCTGCACCCTTTAGAAGATATCGCTACCGCTGAAACCGTGTCGGATGAATTCCGTAAGTCCCGGGCAAAGTTCGGAGTGACTAACGACATGAATGTGGCATTACAGCTTGTTCGTGTCCGTTCGAAAAATGTGGGAAGGTTTTCGCCAATCCTCGGCTCACAGCGATTCACTACAGGAGAGCTCACAGCACTGGTTTCCGAGCGGAACCGCTCTTCAGAATACGAACCAATCTCATCAGGCGTGGTCCCCTCTGCCGAGGACTCCATTGTCCTCAGTGCCTACAGCAACAAGCGAGCCTCGACATCTTCCGTGAGCACTTGCGGACGTCGCATCGATTGCTACTCTGCGAATAAAAGGAAATATCCGATGATCTCAACTCCCAGTCACTCCAGTGCCGATGAGAACGTTGAACAATGGTGGTATCACTTCATCACACGAAATTAAGCCTTCGGAGACTCCTCAATTCTCCGAGTACCGAACGAAGAATGATTATTATCCGCTCGGGTCAACACATCGGTCCCTGCCGAGCGGAATCTCAATGCTGTTTCAAGACATTTCATCGAGTTGAGAGAGAGCGGCTATGAGTCAGCCTGGGAAGATTCAGGCTGAATTTCGGGGTCTGGGGGTCTGGCTGGGAATCGCTTCAGGAAGACCTTATCGAAAGTGGCATGCGTCGCAGATGAAGTCGACAAAAAGTACAACCCGATTCCCGGAACTGTTGATTGTAGTAGTGATCTGAAAGAACCGTCGAAAAACCGGGGAACCGCTCAGGGTTATCGAGAACGTATATATGTACCTACTAATCGAGTCCCGACAAGGCTGCTAGATTTCTCGGGGAGCGGTAATTGTCAAGAGATTCCCTTGTCGCTCTGGGGTGTCTCCGTACGCAGTGATCCAAGTCCGATCATTGGTCTCAGGGAAGTCCGAACCACCCGTCAAAAATCAACCGCTGTCGTGACGGTCCGGGCTTCGATCGCGGATCCCGAGCGCGTGATCTGACAGCTGCGGGAGGCTGTGACTAGCACACCAACATCTTCCGAACCTCAGTATCTTGGGAACACGGTGGAGGAACCGTTACCGAAGCTCAGCATCGGCAGCTCCGTCGCCCCTGTGGCTCTCCGCCTAGCGTACAACCTGCAGACTTTCCTCTCTAAGATTAAAGAAAGGCTGAGTATCCCACATCCCGAACGAACGTCCCGATTACAGGCTCTGTCTGCGTGACGGTGAGCTCGACGTTCCCCCGAAAACAGCCTCGACCCATTCCATATCTGTGTAGATGTTTCCGGAATTTCATCGCGCCTGACCCTTCATTCCGGACAGCCGCAAGTCTGGAGTCCTCTCCGAGCTCAAAGGCGTATCGAGTCTGGCGCTGCTCGAGGAAGAGTCTTGCGTGTTGCGTCCATCAGCCCTCCCTGTTATATGTATCTCGATGACTTCATTCCGTGCCGCTTCGAGGTTATATTCAAACCGGGTCCAGGACTAGAAACATGAGTTCACGAAGGAAAGCCTTGAGAATTGTTCCCGCACGAGGAATGCGCGAGATTCGGCAGCGTGGAGTTCAAGCAAGGGAAAATTCTTTGCGGAGCGTTCTCGACGGCTTCGCTCCTAAAAAGCATCTCTTTTCGCTGTTTCCCGGCCTTGGAAGTAGATAATGATTTTCGCAGCAGGTCCGGCGACCTCAAGCTCGCCCGGACTCGACGAGCGAGAACAAGGCCAGGAACTTGATATTAATTCTGTTGATAAGTTCAAGAGACGAAACGACGTGTCTAGTTAGATAAAAAAAAAGCTGCATTCGCGCTGTCAGAGGAATGAAGTCATAGAATGCTTTCCATCGAGTCCAGCGGTCCCGACTGATTCACCACGGACCCCGTCACTACCAGAGACCATCGGGGAGAGGAGCCTGTCGCAGAATTTTCCTGTTGATCGGCGCGAATGTGTTTTTTCCATACTGGGAGCCCGAAGCTAACAGCAGAGCATCGGCTCTCTTCCCTCCAGAACCGGGTCCGCAAAATCCAGGACCGTCCGCATTTTAACGATTCGTCTGAGCTTTAGCTGTCGCAGAATCAACAAAACATCAGACACAGCAATCCGCGACAATAGGCAGGCTCTTCACTTTTAGACAGCACTATCGTTCCTGCTGTCGTTCCGCCGCTGATGTTCCGTAGTCGTTCCGCGACGACAGAAAGGATCGTAAGGATATCGTGTCAGGAGTAGCGGCCGCTCCGGAGCTACCTCTTATCTACGTGGAAGGCGGCACTCGGAAAATTTGAGCTCTATCCGCAGGGAACATGGTCGACATAAAACGGCACCGTTATCCGTACTGCGTTGTGTGGACCTCTATCCCTGGATTGACGTGAGTAAAGTGTCCCGACTTGATTTGCGCAATGGTTCTCGCTTCCCTTTGGAATAGAAACTCAGCGGCAGAATAGCTGTCATCTGGTCGGCCCGGGGGACGAAAATCGCGTGTGGAGCGTGCTTATGCACACTGAAATCATCGCTTATCTCTGTCTCCTCACGGTCGTTCATACTCGAGATAGGGAAACTCGTGTAAGATTCAAAGTCTCGTGTCGCGTCCTGACCGATACCGATCCCGTCAGGGGGAGCGCGTTGAGAGGCAGGCATAGAGCAGCCATGCAACAGGCTGGCCAGACTTTCCTTGTTCGAGCAAGATCACGTTCGAGGAAAGAAGAGGTCTTTCCTCCCTATCCTTCGTTGTCTTTGTGATCCGCGATTCTGCTCCCCCCGCGCTGATACGTCAGCGGGCAGCGTCTGGGGAATGACGTGCCGGTAGAATCGATCAGAACTCGCTTCCGCCCTATGAGTTTCGCTGATAGAGCGGAGTAGCTGCGTCGAGAAATGAGTTCCAGGCTCGGCCTCGCAATCGACTGTAGTGGAAATCATGAAACTTCGTAATCTTCCTATCGAGTTGTCGACATTTGATCCTGTTCCCAGGCGATGCTCCATTGATCAAACAATGACTGGGCTGGTTCCGACATCACGTCGACGGGATTGTGATAGCCCCGACGCGGGTGGAAAAAATATTATTTCCCGCTATTTTATCAAGATCGGGCTTCTCGCCGTCCTCGAATCGTGAATTGAGCTCAACTTCACTCGAATCGTGTTTCGCTTCCTTGTCATGGAATGTCTGAGCATCTCATGAAGAAAAAAATGCTTAGCCGTTCTGCCACGTTCGCTCATCATTTATGCGTCATATGTGTTCTCGACCGCCAGACTTATACACGAGCTCGACCGAAATGTCTGCGGACGACTGATATCGAGAAAGGCGGTAGGGAATAAGAAGGCGAGGGGATCGAAATTACCAATATAATATATTAATTTATTCGGCTTAGGTTTCTGTACAAGCATTTACATTTTATGACTGAGTGTGCGATTGGCGAATGAACTCACCATCGCACTATGACCGAGCGGTCGATCTCTCTATCCTCAACTCTCCACATCCCTTTTCATTCCGCTGCGTACTCCCATTCATTCACAATGATGAATCACTGATTGTATAATCGATTCGTTCCATCAACCAATAATTCCTGCATGAGGGATCCGGGAGCGCTCCAGAACGCTATCCCCGTTCGGATTGCGCTCTCCACTCGACGCGGGAGCGGTCGGGCAATTTATCCCGCTCCCGCTGATAAACATCGCAAGGAAGGAATGTAGGTCTGGAAACCCTCAGGGCAGAGGGGCTGATCACCACCAAAACCCGGACCGGAACCCTATCCGTTCCGTCGAGAGGTCAAATGTAGAATGAGATTTCCAATCGAAGTGAGTTCACGCTTCTCTCACGCACACAACTGCTCTGAACGAGTTTGAGCCAGTGTTATGATCAACAAACGGTATAAGGCCTAGAATACGCTGTGACAGTCGTTGTAGACTCGAGCTACAAACAGCTGAGTAACTGTGCTTGCTGTTCGACAGAGTTGAGAAATGACTTGAATGAAAGCGACTGGCTCGGGGCCCGATCGCGGCATGCTCCGTATAATGCACATTAAGCTCACAATTGCTAACTCCACTTCGGATCGTAGCCTTTCCAATCGGCCGGCGGGGCCACGTAGACTCTACGGCCTTTATGCATGCAGGACACCACTCCGCGGTAACCGGTGCGCGGAACTCCGGATTTGAAATCGTCCATTATCGAGAGAAGTTTCGCGATATGTTTGAACGAGCTGATGTTGGTGTAAGTGACTCGCACGGGACGCCAAATTGGCAAGTTCACCTTCCCATTCGTCACAGTGGTCAAGGCGACGGCCGGGCTTCCGTAGACTTCTTTGACGAAATCGACGTCGTAGTTGTCTCTCAAAAGGTAACTAAGGTCCTTCGACAGGAAATCTACGGGCTCTCGGCTCAGTTCTATGAATTTCAAATGTTTCTCGTAGAAGAGCCCGTTGCTCACTCCGATCTTCCCGAAGGTTTTCGTTCGCGATATTTCGGGTCTTATGCATGCGCGGTTCCTGCGTTGCTCGGGCTCCCGTATCCAATCGTCCCAGAACGCTTTCGGCCACTTGGTCATCAGCTCCAGCCAGAGATCTCGAGTCATCATCCATCCAAGACCCGGGAAGAAGTCCGATCTGTAGAGCAATGACGAGTTGTCCGTTTGAATGAGACCCGCCTTGCCGTTGTCGTTCCATGCCGACACGCAGTAGAGCGACGGATCGGCCTCCAATATCGGCAGCAGCGACTCGAAATAGGAGAAGAAATCAGGCGCGATCTCGAGGTCGTCTTCAACGATAATCACGGAGTTGTAGTTCAGATCGAGGAATGTTTTGTTGAGCGCCCATCCGTAATGACGAGCGATCTTGTAGTAGCCTTTGAACTTTTTCTGTTTGAGAGGCAGTTTGTAATCGGACTGATCCGGCTGCTGAATAAGCTGAACCTGCAAGGTTTCCATCTAGTGAGTCTCGCTTTCGATCGCATGGTCTCGTTCTCTTCGGTTTCGGGCATCTCCCCCCGACGGAGAGATTCGCGGCAGAGATAAGGCTCCCGCCGTTCGAGGCCAACCTACCTGGTCCCCATAAACTTTGATGGTCTTGAGTGTTAACTGGTGGTTGCAGTCAGCCGAAACGATAATCGGGAAGTTCTCCGCGTTGGGACGGTAGTTGAGTAATTGTTCTATGGGTTTTTTCACTGTGACCCTATTGCACGCGAACAGTAATATCGGAATGACTGGTCGGCCCTTCGATGCTCTCAGCCGCTGTTCTCGGAATGCTCGACTGCCTAGAATGAAAACATCTGATCTTATTCCCGATGTCTAGAATCAGTCGCAACGCAGCGGAAACTAACGCGGAATACACATGTGTCAAGCCCATTGGACTTCTGGAGTCTTTTGTCGCCACTGACCGTTCAGCTGTTTGGTCTGCCGTATTCCATCTACGACTGCGTACAAACCGCGTGCGTCGTTCTTCTGATTTCTGAGGCCAACCTCCAAGGCGTCGAGTTTTGTTTGGATGCCCTGCCTGTAAGGATTATGGGGCGGAATGAAAACCATGAATGCAAGATTTGAACGTCAGAATAACACTATCTCCGTTCTGAATGCCGACGACCAAAACTCTTGAAATGCGGACGGTTCGCCATGATAGCTCACCCATGTCACTGACCTGAAATACGAGGCGGCAATCTCGTTATCGGGTGACTTCAGCAAATGATAGGTGAGTGCGATCCAGCCCAGAGAGGCCACCGAAAGCAGAAGCAAGAGTGGATTTCGACGCCTCATGGCGCCTAATCCACTCAATGCTTAGCGGCCTACAACACTAGGCGCTTGTGGTGGTCGGAGTTCTCCTGGAATGCAGGTTGGAATTGACAATGCGTTCCGCGTTCACGTCTAGGATGGGTTGAGCATGCCAGATATTCCCACCACCCAGATTGAAGCCTACCGTGTCATCATACAGGCGCTGCTGCCGCGTTAATGTGCAATTGGTTCATTCGACTGACCTTCGACCCGCAAGATTTCGGCGCTGGTGTATCTCATACCCGGCCGGCGGGACAATAAGAGACTCGCACGTTACGAAAGAACCAGCTGCGATTCTTTGAACTATATTTTTCTGCACAAGTGATCGGGTAATGCCTGACGTGAGAAAAAAGAAACTGATTCCGTCTGTCTGTTTGTTATTCAACCGATGCCAAATCCAACAGAGCCGGCTCCGCAAAACTTGAGATGGGCCGGTGTCCGATGCGACAATACTTTGAAATTTCTATTCATGGAATTTTCGAGGCAGAACTCGATGCATCCATGCGCGAAACCCTGTTGTGAATTCCCTGGTATGGAGAATATCAGTTTTTATTCGAAATGAGTGGTTGTTCAATCTACCGCCTAGGATCCCTGCAATTTCTTCTACTCGGGGCGAAAACAACGATTCTCCGCCGCAAGCTCACATTTTCGAATGTGTAGGAATTGCTGTTCGTCTTCACGCTCCCCCGCACCAGAACGGGATGTCGCAATTGCCGTGTGCCGGCTTATCGGATCAAGATCCGATGTTTGGCACTTCGAAATATCAGGCTTTTTCTGATCGCTGCGGTGACGGCTGTTGCGCTTCGAGGAGGCACTGTCTTAATCATGGCCGAAATCCGCTTGGAGGAAAAACGTCGTCAAGTTCTTGGACCGAGGCGCGAGAAAGTCGACTCGTCTTCTCCCGAAAATTCATTAGTTGAACAAAGGGGAGAAGATTCCCCGATCAGACAAAGGATCGTTCCGAGCGAGGGCTCTTCGCTTGTGCGGCGTTGCCGTCTTCGAGAGGGCCCGAATTCTCGATGGACGCGTGGAAACTGCGATCGAGGAACGGCACCGATACCGTAAGATGAGGCAGATCGTTTGATTGAATGAACCGTCCGAATCAGAATCGACGTCATCGGCGTGAATGATTGTTCGGATATATGGAACGGTGCGCGCTGGCTGCGATAACAGCAGCGGTGGTGTGTCAGCCAGTGCTGACTGAGCAAGGAAGATCGCTTGACTTGAAAGAAATAAATTTCTCAATCGACCGCGGTGTCTGGCGCGTTTGTTTGACTGCCTGTTCGTGGTGACACCGAATTACGCAAGTCGTTTTTAATACGAGACCCGTTGCACAAAGCGGTCTCATCTCCTTAGTTTGTATTCATCTATGCACGAAGTCATGCGGAGTTGATTTTCCGCGGACCTGAATATCCACCGGACGGGAGCACGACTCGAATACGAGAATCGTGAGTAGTCCCGCCGATGCCTCTGAGCTTTGAGTGCTCTCGGGCCGAGCTTGTCGTGTCCACCGTTCCCTCTGGAATTCTCTCATCAGAGAATACGTGTTCGAAGCGAATGAGCTCCGCCTGTGATTGTACCGACGGATGAGGGTCTACCCGCTACGTCGAGATGCTTCTCAGACTCAAATCGACTCACACGCTCAATGCCCACGGTGGCACCGAGCTCTGCAAAGCCGACGGCGTAGAGAGCCACTAGTTCTATCACCACCACCAGCACTGACACGATTGACGAGCAGCTCATCCAAGAGAACACAACAGAGGAGCAACCGACTTCGGCGAAACTCACATTCTGCCGCTGGGACGACTCCTCGTCGAACGCCGCTGTCGGAGCCGGACCTTCCATCACCATCACTCATCCAGGCCGATCTGGAAATTTTCGGACCAGCTGAGTGCCAGAGAAGGCCTGATTCACTTTTGATTAGCGAGGACCAGCTCGGCTTTGCTGGCGGCGGCCATCTTGTCGCTGGTTGAGAAAGAGATGCACTCACCACCACCGCCGGCCGCCACCACTACCACCGCCGCCGCCGCCGCCTCTCATCATCGGCCGCTGTGGTCGTGCTTCAGCCAGCTTTGGAGCCGGCCGGTCGCTCGGTCGGCCGTCCTGCCATACAGTCCCACATAGTGACTTACGGAAGACTCGTGCCGCCACTAACTCTGGCGTATTACCATCGAGCCGTGGGTGCCCTACGACGAATCGTAGAAAGCTTCACCGATTGCGCTCTGGGAGGAGAGCTGAGCAAATTGTCGATCAGCCGGTCGGTCGCCGTTTTGGGAGGGCTCTCATTCCTTGCTAGTTTTCTGGAACGAGCCATTGTTTGCACAGCGATTCTCGGTAGAATTGGGTCCGAGCTTTGGAAAATCGCATGGAATCGTCTCCCTGTCAGACAGACGTTTTCCCTCCGAAATATGGTGCCTTTTCGAATGATTCGCCGAGAAACGAAGGCTGAAAGAGAGGTAGTCAGATCGCCCAGCTTTGAGGGAAGGTCACGCAATGTCTGTCTACGGGCTCGAGATCAAGAATCCCCGAAAATGATTATTCGTTCCCGGGACGAAAGTCCTAATCGTCGAGGATGCGAGAAAGCCACGGGAGTTGCTTTAGGGAACTCCCCTTCCCTGGTATTATCATCGGGGGAGTATCTCTTTCTCGAAGGGACAAGACTGGAATCCGGGATCTGTCCGGTCACGGTACTAGTGTTCCTCCGTGTCGGGAACAATGCATGAATTGGACACCGACGATATGATCACCGATCACTTCTCTTCTTGGCAGCTTCTGTTCACTACATACATTTCTTCGCGAGAATTCTCTTACCCTGCACAACCTCGCAGCTTCAAATTCGATCGCTATCCTGGATCTTATATTGAGCCGTGCGAGAACCATTCACGTATACGATAGCGATGAAGACTTTCCGGTCTCCCCCGAGCGGTCAATTGGAATTCCCGCTTGAGAATCGTCGTGGAATTCCTGTGTATCGCTCCATAGAGCGAGGGAAAACAAGCTCGGGAGAACGTCGAAACATACACCGGCTTCAGCCCCAGATTGGGGTTTTCTCTCTAGATTCGATCAGGAAGAACAAGGTCATCCCTCGATACCTGAGGAGCATTATTCTTCTATTATTTCTTGATACCTGACACTTGACCGAGTGGTCATCTTGATGATCGGTATCATTCCGGAAGTCAGATTTCTCACCGAGGGAAGCCACAGGTCCGGGGATTGATTCAAGCCTCATTCTTTGGGAGACTATCTTATGCGAGAGATTTGAAAGAGAATTGAATTTTTCTAGAGAAATATCCTCCTCCTTCCGACGAAATCTACGTCGTCGGCTCTCTAAGAATCAGTGCTCGAGTAAGCTCGACGGAACTTGAATCCATTCACCGACCGACTTCTCAGCTCCAGTGTTTGTTTTATCAGGTGGCTTTTTCCGTTCCTGGGTCACGTCGGAATATGCCTCTCAAACGGGGTCATCACAGATTTCTCGGGACCCTACTCAGTGACGGCAAGTGTTTGCGCCAGCCCGGCTTTCCCTATTCCGCCAATTCCATCAGTGCTGCATAATCCTAAGCAGGAAGGTCATTTTATTCTTCACTTTCAGGAGGATCACATGGGATTCGGAAATCCGCGCAAGTATTGGCAGCTCGATCCAGCAAGAGCCCACGGCGGTCAGGTAATTCAGAAACTCGACAATGCGGCGGCCTCTCGAATCGAAGTCCAGAAATGCGAATTATGTCCTCATGTCGCTATGGCTCAATCGAATCGCTTCGATGATCTGCCTCCTCATCGAGAAAATCACCGAGGGAGAGCTAAGAACTCCTGGGTTTTCAGGTCGGCTGGGATGAGGGCGTCACCACGGCAGCGGAGATATACCGAGGGCGAATGCACAATCTTCTCTGTGACAACTGCCACTCCCACGTCGCCACGGCATTGAATCACTTCGCGTACGGAGGTGAGTCAAAGCTTTCTGAATGATCAATAATGGTATCGACAATATCTATGTCGGAGCGTCCGTCGACTTTCATTCTCCTCCGCGTGAGATCTTTCCTCAGGCTCCGATAAATCACTAGCGATCGTGTCTCCAAATCTAAGAATTCTCGAGTTTCAGGCAAAACCAATTGGAACATGCTCAGCGTTTGGATTCATCTGACCCTACATTCTCGATACATATCCTATACGGAAGCGCTCCGCACGTACATTCCTTTTGCTGTGATCCTGAGCTTAGCAGTCATCCTCTACGTTGCCATGTAGGCGCAGGCTGATTCGATTTAGTGCCGAACATACTCATTTTTCTCTCGACGATTCCATGACGACCATGTAGTTTTCTACTGTGCGGGCGATTCCTCAGGGTCTACGCGAGAAGGATAATATATATGTGATGGAACGAATATTTGCAGATTGTGCCTGAATCAAATCAACTCGAGTCTATAACTCTCTCTTCCGCATCATGCGGAGACGATGTGAGATACCGTAATAGTTGCTCCAACAATTTCTCAACTCCATTATTACATGGAATAGGTATCATTGCACTGGATTTCCTCCTGTTTTTCTCCTGCAACTCGTTCCCGTTCTCATTCTGATGAAGCTCAACGGAACGCGAGGAACGCCGCGACTGTCACGAGAGTCCGAGTCGGGTGACTGTACAGTCGAAATGATTTTAGCGCTAGCAGAGGAGGACGGAAGTCTTTTTCGATAGTTGGGATATCAACCGATACCAGAGCTTCGGACTTTTACATTGTATGTCAGCAATGCACAAGCATGCAACTCGCTGATAGCGGTCAATCGACTCTCGCTTGTAAATTTGTAAATACTCCCACAAGGAACGAGAGTTGAATGATTTGTAGTAGCCGGTAAGCTATGTCGAGACTCAATCGGCCGATTTCAATAAATCTGCACAGGATCCGCGCCAATGAAAGCAAGCTCTTCCCTCGCGAAATTTCTCTCGCAGTCTTTCAACCTGAAGAGAAGAACACACTGTGTCTCGAGACGCTATTTCTTCGAATCACAGAGACAAGCAGATGCTCGAATTAATTTCCCAAAGCCCGAACAGAGAAGTTCTTTTCGCGGTGGGGTCACTCACCGTTTTGAGAATTTGCATATTCACACCTAGGCCTCGAGAACCGGGCCGGCATAATAGGATTGCCGCTGACGTGAAGTCATTAGGAGGAGCTTGAAGCCTTTCTTGGACGGGAACTTGCTCCCATCTCTCATGGAAGAGATCCGCGTATACATCAAGCAGGCGGTCTAGACCGATTCGAGCGAGAGACCGCTTTGATCTGTCTATGACGTCAACGAGAGCGGCTTGGAGCGGAGGCGGTCAACCTCCTTCCGAACGAGTATCATTTCGAATGAATAATCGATAGACCTTCAGAAACAGTGTCGACCCGAGAGATTCCCGTCGGATCAGATTCCAGCCGCCCCCTACGCAGGTTCGTAGAGAGGAGTCGAATTTTTTGAGCTCGGACCTCTTCTTCTGGCTCTCTGGAATAATTTATTCTGACTTTTTTGGGCGAGAACGAAGAGTACACACATAGAGTAAGTATATATCGAGCTTGCGGGACGATATATGGGGGGATGGCGATGCCTTGAAAATCGGGCATGATGAAACACAGGAGGAAACAATTATTGTCGATTTCTCCTTCCTTGGGAAGCCTCTGGAAGTTTCAAGACTTGTTTACAGGAGCTCCTTGGCAGATGGGTGGAGAAGTTCACATACCTGACAACAGCGTTCGACACCTGACTCAAGCACGGTTTATCCTGAAAGCTATCAGTTCTCTGACGGGCCGCCCGTAAGCTTCCCTATCAGGGTCTTCCCGAGAGCCCTGATGTCTTTCTCCGGGAGGAGAGTTCCATCGCTCGGTCCGGTGGAATTCGGGATACGTGCCCCGGGGCCTCCATGTGGATTCATCCTCTCGATCCCTGATTCGAAACAGAAGTCATCCGCCGTACCTGACCAGAGTTTGCCTCACAACTGGACTTGGAAGATCGGGTCCGTCGCGGCGCACTTGACCGATAAACTTTCGAAAAAGTATCCGCAGTACTCTTGCACAAACATGAGATCCCTTGTGATTGATATCGTGGGGCCGAGATAGAGCTTTTTGCGGACTCCCCCCCCCCATCCGCTACTACGCTCTGATTCCCCACGAATATTCCCGAAGTACAGTGCTGCGCGGATCTCACTTCCCTAAGCCGAGACAAACCTTCAACTGAGTGAATTCTAGAATCAAGTGTCGCCCTGTAAACATCGCGGTTCTGAACTGCTCAACCACGTTGGAGGTTTCCTCGAAGGGAAAGACCCGCTTCGAGGATCTTATACAGACCCATGGAAGTCTATGCCAGATCGGCCCTCTCATCTGGAGCCTCCCTCCAGCTAAGCGTCGATCCCTTGCATCACGAAGAACTTCTGTTTAGGATCGCTGTGAAGGAAATGATCGCTATCATTGTGAGGGGGAGAGATCACGTTGCGACTTCCGTGACTCATCGGACGGAGGAATCCGTGCCATCGAGTTTCGGATTCCGTTCAACAGATTCGGAGGCTGTCTACTGAAGCGGGGAAGAATGAAGTGTACTCGATCCTTCTTGAAGCCTGGCCGCAGAGAACGCAAACCTCAAAGATCCTCCTCGGAACTCGAAAGACGCCTCACACACTAGTTTTTCTACGGAGGGCATCCGTGCCGGTCCGACAGCTTCTGTTTAGGTCGAATCAACACGCGCCTGTGTTCGCTAATATCGGATTCGAGCAGAAACGGAGGGTCGCAACAGAGCTAATTCCGTGAAGAACCACCGAAGATCCGATCTGTGGAGCACTTCAACCCTTCTGCTTGCTGGGTCGACGGGCCGCCTGCCTAGCCTCACTATCACTGACATCCATGAAGAGCTCGATCCGAACCCTTCATGCACCAGATGAAGGAGGAAAAAAGTTTCTAAATGAGTGCTATTCGCGGATCTCGGCGGGACGCCGATTCGGGCTCTCACTCGTTAAGAGGCTCTGAATTTTTGGCGTAATCAAATAGCTAGCAACAACGCCTCTCTTGAGCTGGCTGGCGACCATGAGAAATGAACTAGAATTCACTCCCCGATTCATCTCTCCACTGTAGCAGATTCCTCGACCTTGAAATGGAAAACCGGTGCAGATGGGATCCGAGCGAGGGACGTCTTCGAACGAATGATTCTACCGGAGCTGATCGGAGTGTTCACGGGAATATCAAACGGAAAAGTTGGCTTCACCTCAGCTCAACGGGAGAAAAACGCGCGGTATCACAGAATGCGCGAAGCCGCCCACACCTCAATGAGAACATATAAACATCGATTTCGGGTCACGTGATGTTTTCCTCACTTCCGGAAGCACACTGACATTTTATGGCACGTATTTACAGCTTCGGGTTCTTAGGTCCGTTCCGAGACCGGTCGGAAACAAGAAAATAAATATACATACAATAAGTTAGACTCAACGGGCTGGTTTTGGTATCACTTTGTCACTTCAGTGTGCTTGCCGTCTCGATAATGCATTTCCTTTGATTCAGTCAGCTCGTGCGTAGACTATACATCGTAGTTTCTGTAGTTCGGTTTCCAGGGCAGCATTGGCGACCCTGAGTTTGAGATTTTCCTCTTCTAGGAAAGCTGCCCTGATTGCGGTTTCGTCTTCTTTGGCTCTTCGGGCGTCCCTCGATCTCTTGGCAGCCTCGTTATTCTTTCTACGACGCTCGTAGTAGGCGGCGTCTTTCTTCTCTTCGGGATAAGCCTTGCCCCGGCGTCGACCCGCCGTTTGGCCTCTGGTAGGGGTAACCGATCCCGGGGTGGAACTCGACGTGGAGATGTGTTGCGAGTCATTTGAGTGCTCGGACATCTCACGTGTAATTTCTGGCGGGCTGATCGTGTTCGGTGGCGGCGACGGGCTAACCCTACCGAGTTTCCGGCGTCCCAACTGTTGAATACGTTGGGAGAGGGCCTGCTGAGGGAAGATATTGAATTTAGAAGATGCAAAACGCGTTCCCTGTCATCACTCACGGCACCGATCGTGAGTTCCCGGCCGCGCGAAAGAGATGGCGCCGCATTCGCCTCCCGATGGGGACCAAGAAACTTCGTTGGACGCAACGCGCGGATTCTCGTTCCCCTCCGAGTTATCTATGAGAAAACACGGGAGAAGCCCCACGAAAACATGGAAGACCACTGACCTGTTGGCGGAAACGCAGGTATTCCGGATCGAGGAAACCACCGTTGCCTCGGAGCAGCGTTGCGTCCAATTGGGGAAGTGCGGGCCGATAGGCGAATTGATACAGAGGATTGAAAGCCGGGTTCAGAATGTCGTGTCCCGGTAGAAGTTCCGAAGGCGACAGTGTCGGAGGGAGCGTGGATCTTGCGAACATGAAATTGGACGGCAAACTCGCGGCGACATCGGACGGCTCGGCGTCTGAGATATCCGATGAGGCTGTTTGAGGCGATATGTTTCCGCGCGGCGAAGTCGACTGCAGGAACATCCTCGCGGTCGAGCACGCTTCCTCCGAGCTTTGGGTCGAAGTCACTGAGTTCGGGGTTTTACCGTTGGTCAGTTTCGACTCAGCATGGTCGTCTGACGTCGACCGGCTGAAATCCAGTGGTTGGTCTTCTTCCGACGATTGTTCCCAGTTGGGAGGAGAGACCGAATTCCTCTTCGAAGCTGTCGAGTTCATGATGAGATCCTGTATTGCGTCGTCAGCGCGCTTATCGGTTTCAAAACTCCCTGGGATTCTGTAAAGTATCACCGTTTTTTTTCTGGCTTGCTCGTCAACTCCTCCTGTCGCGCTATGTCTCTTCCCACCGCCAAGTCCCCCCTGACAGACAGGGAAACTTTTCAAGGTCGATCCCCGGATCTCAAGGGGAATCCACGATGAGGGGCTCTATCAAGTGCTGAAGATAGCATCAGGGTTTTCCCGAAAACCCGATCTGACGGACTTGCGGAATTCCGTCTCCACCCCAGTCGGTCTCGCCCCGGTTGCTTATTGGTGAGTGTCAACTTACGCGGAGAAGAATGTCGAATATTCACAGTGCTGGAGGCATATGTTCGTTTCTATACGCCCGAGCAGGTGTAATGCTCGATCGCGCGTAGGGTCGTATGGGGACTGGTAAACTTCCAAACTCGACCGATGTATCCAGTTGTGAGCACTCACTGAGGAGAGATGTTTGTGATGACACTCTCGCAGATTCGGACGGACAGTTATGTCGGACTCGGAAGAATCGTCGGTCTATGTAGTCAAGGGGTGTGCGAGAAGGTTGGGGAGAGGGCACAAAGGGTAGAACTGACCGGCTACCCCAGTTAGCTCAAACAAGCATCTCGAAACGAAAGGGTTGGCTCGCGCTGCAACCACCGACGCCTCGAGAACGTCAAAGCTCCTACTGACCCTATCGATGTCAACTTGAACATCACCGATACCGGCTTCGTCGAATCCACAATTGAAGATACCCATAGAATCGTCACGATGACGAAAGCCTACCAAAGAGGACCTACCACCAAAGTAGCTGGTGATCTTTTCACGGGAAGTCTGATCAAAATCGTCACAATGTGGCAATTTCCAAGCCATAATCGAATAAGTGCTTTCGTAGGAACATTTCTTATCGGGTGGATTCGACAATATGGGTCAAATTGTTTGTTCTCTTCATCTCATCTGAGGAGATACAACAACTTCGCTCTACACCCGGATTTCCCAATCGCGAATAAGCGACATTCCTTGAATTGTGATTGACGGAGTATTTCGCGACTCACAGCAACAATGGAGGGGCTCTAGATGGCGTCATCGCAGTTCTTCCTCCAGGGGGAAGCGCGGGAAAGACGGCACGAGAAATCAATGCCCTCTGCACGGCGGCTAGCCGCGAGGCACAGGAGACTCGGACGCAAAAAGTCCGATCTCCTAATACAAATCTCCTTATGGGACCACAGAGCTTTCCAGGAGTCGAGGAAATGAGACGCCTAGTGTTCGGTGGCTCGGCTAAGAGCTACATTCCCATTCCCCCTTTCCCGCCGACAACACCGAATGTCTTCAGCGAGCATCGCCCAGCGCGACTCTAAACGCTGGGCGGGACCCGAGTGGGGAATATGATCTTGGGTGGTTCGCAGAAGTACGACGACTTGCGTCTCTCCTACGAACGGGTTCAGTTCAAGCTTTTCGGCCGCCAGGCTTCTCATATTTGTGGTCCACCGTCATTTCGCGACGACCGGTCAGAAGATTGATTGATTACATATCAATCCCATCCGTGACCATCGTTGCTAGTGAGGATCGCAAATCCAACGGCGACTCTCCGGTCTTTTCATGGGTTCTTCAGCTAAATTCGATGGGGAAAATTGAAAGATACGGGATCTAGTTTCTCGTTCCTCCTGTCCGTGACTATGAATGATTCCTCAACGCAAGGAGCTTGTGAGCCGGATCGAGGCTTTCTCCAGCAGAATCCATTGAAGTTCGCGTCCGAATCCCTGCTCGGCGCCCTGTGTAGCGGAGAGAAACGGTGTCTTCGGCAGCAGAGTTCCTTGAGTTGGGGGTCGCTTGCACCTAAGACATGTTTGATCACGGACATTGTGGGGCCTGTCATAGCTTCGGACGGAAGCGATCCAGATGCAAGCAAAATGCAGAATCGCCAACAAAGGGCTTCCGAAGGGGTTGCATTTCATAATTGAACAATAACTCATAACTCGGAACCCGTTTCTGGCAGAAGGACTACTGCAGGCTACACAGGCGTTCGCGCGAAGGTTTTCGATGGAACTTCTGACTCACTCAGTCAGTCAGTCGGTCACTCAAGTGAGATCCGTATCGTCGGCGTTTCGGACCTGAACTTCGATGAGCTTCCGACAACCGGAATCCGAACGACTCGCAGGGGTTTGACAGCAATGATTTGGCAAATCGATGTTTCGGTAAACGTCAATACTCTTCTAGCTACATGAACCGCCTCGATACGTTCATGACCTCTCCTCCGGACCCTGGAGATCTGTCTATTCGGCATTTGAATCACAACACATTCGATGAGCGGTTTCTGAATACAATTTTTACAACCACTCGTGGACCACTCGAGGGTTTTCGTCCATTCACGAAATCCCGTCATTCTGTCGTACGGTTCCGAAGATGATTTGCATCTCGAGGCCTTTGAGGCAGCCCTCGCAGTCGCCGAACGGATTCTTTCTCAAGAGACCGACAGGATTACCCGATGGAGCACAGAAGACTGGACCGCAATCGAACAAGTTCCTCATCTCGGTCAGCTCCGAAAGCTCTCCGTGAACAAGAAAGTTCACGACTCACGACCGAGAAGACGTAATTCTTCTGATGCGTGCTCTCGTGTGTGAAGGGTCACGCAGCCCATCACCACCTATGAGCGGATCGCAACCACGAGAAGATGTTACACAAACTGATATTGAACGCCAAGCCCGGGTCAACTGTTGCCCACTCCTAATACCGGCATTAAGAGCGAGACCAATAATTGCCGCGGCCCAACTCTCGTCGCATCTCCATTGTCAGGGAGAACTCACCCGTGGAGTCCGAACCCGAGATCTTTCCGCGTTTCTCCCGCTCTTACCAGGCGGACTTCGACCGCTGCCTCGACGCTCTCGGACAGAGTTTAGTTGAAAAGCAACGCGACAGACGCGAAATTCGCTAATCTCTAAGGCATCGACCCCGGAAATGCCGGAAATTCGGGGGCTATAATGCGGAGGTTACACCCAGCTAGTATTCACAATTAGGTGGACGTGAAATTCTCCCAGGAACCCAATGCTCCGAATTTCGAGACGATCGGGGAGCGAGCTTGTTCCTGGCATCGACATCTTATCGCAAAGTTCCTCACCCGCAAGTCTTTCCCTTCCTTTTCGGCACTCCCGGTTCCAACCTTAAAGCATAATCCCGGACAGAATTCCGGAAGAAACACCACGGCACTCGACGAGCACTGCCTGTAGAAGGACATCCACGAATCACGCAGACTACAGGTCGAGTTGACCGGAGGCGGAACGTAAATAGCGTGAACTAGTTACGATCTAGTTGCGCAATGCGTCAACCCGCTTAAGCCTATTGTTCAACAGCACGTCGCAGGGCGAATTCACCTGACTAATCTCAACTTGGAATAAGTCCGTCCAGTCAGCTTAGATGCTAATAGTCCACCCAAGGCAAAGATGTATCAAATGCAGATATCTGACCATGCCGTCGCGGAACTCACGATAGAACTTTCCACGACAGCGTCAATGTTGCTTGAATCCAGTCCCGAACAACCGGAGAATCGGCGAGGGCTCGAAGTATTGCCACGTGAAAAGTCAGAGCCCGCGCTCCGGATCGGCTTCCGAGTCCGGGACGGAGTCGGTCCCGGACTGAGCTCTGGGAAAAAGTCCGAGCGGGTCTTGTGCCGCCGGCAGGGAATCTAAGACAAGAGAGAATACGATCCAGGTAGGGCTCCAGCGAGAATAATTCAAGCGCATGCTCCCTCCCAGTCGGTAAGCGTGGCCGCACAAGAGACCAACGGGGTTTGGTCGCATAATGTCGTTCCCGAAGAGGTGGTGACCCGCGAAGCTTTCAGAGGCTCAAACGTACTCGAGTGAAGTATCGAGATTAAGCAAATCGAAACAAGAACGAGTGGAAGCATTCGATGACGGCTCAGATGAGATTCTCGTTCGTCGGACCAAAGCAACGCGGGCTGTTTATTCAGTGCGCGAGTGTGTCTTAGTGAAGTTGCTTTGCTTCTTCTGTCCTATAGAAACGCTCGGGTCTATTCTGACTGAGCATGAAGAGCTGTGCGATCCAGTCGAATCGCCGCGTAGGGCGCTACTGGAAACAGCGGGCGTGTGCCAGCATTTGTGTGTGATATACAAATAGTATCAACAACGAGACGACGACGCTGACAACAAGCGCAGCAGCACAAACAACGAGGAGCACCAAAGGCACCGTAGGCCAGCAAATAACTAATTTTCGATATGAGATGAAACATATCTGGGAGCCTCACGGCCTCTCTCGTCTACGTCCAGCCATGACTGCCCATCAAGTGACCGCGAGCGAAACAGCTCCAGCTAACTCAGACAACTGTTGTCTCGTCGTCGTTTGCTCATTCATATTTCAATTCAATGAGTTTCCATCTTTGTAACTGCCATCCAATTATCCCGAACGTAGCTCGAAGTCATAATCTACGCTCATTCCGCTTCGGGAGCTAATAGGAGGCGGAGCTCTGCCTCATGGCTCGCTTTCGAAATTTCGGCCGAATATTTGCTTATCCCATTTTCGAAATCGCACTGGATCCCACAGGGAAGAAATCCCTGGAGTGAATTTCTGAAGACTCTACTCACCCAGTGCGTTTCATCGATGTTGAACTTCACGAACTCGTTCGGACCGCCTAAGGTCGAGGAGACACCTAGCTCTCGAGCTCTCGCGGGTTCCAGTTCTGTCACTGTCGACTGCAAAACCGCCTGTGGTCTTCGTGGTTTCGGGAAGTCGGATGTCATGGAGCTATATTTCTGCCCTCTCCAGAGTGGACTCGACAGAAGAAGAGGGAGAAGAGAAATCCGAAGACACCTATCGCTGACACTTTGGACCTCAAAAAAGAAAGGATCATAAACTTTATAGCGCTTTAGAATAAGATGTACGAAGTAGACGACGACGACGACGACATGTACAACTACAACGACAATCGTGCGCGTATCGTTCGACCGGGTTCCAAGCAATAAAAGAAGGCCATT